ATACCGAAGGTGGCGGAGTTCTAAATTTTCTAAGCCCAAAATTTCAAGTCTGGTGGCATACGGTATTTTGTTGCAAGGGGTGGAGTGGAGGACCCTTCTTGTGAAATATTTCTGGACACGCTCAATTGTATTAATGTCCGATATGCAGTGCGGGTTCCAGACAGATGAGCTGTATTAGAGAATTGGTTTTGCAAATGTTTTGTATGCTCTGGTTAGTAGTGCAATATTACCGGAGAAAAAGCTACGCAAGATTAGGTTTACAACCCTTAATGCCTTTTTGGCGAGGCTGTTACAGTGGGCTTTGGCACTTAGATCATTTGATATGAGTACTCCAAGGTCCTTGACCGAGTGAGGCTAACAATAGGGGGTATGAGACCAGTGAAGAAATTCATAATTAATATTCTGAGATCGTCAATTAATAACTATCTTTAAAAAAAATACCGTGGAAATGCTATTCCCAAAGTATTGATTGTATTTGTTGTGATAGGTTTGCTAGCAAACATAGCAGACCTTAGTGATTAATTTCTAAAATATACTTGTAATGTAATTCTTAGATTTGATGACATAATTGTTTGGAAACTCCTCCCTTCCTTATAACATTTTTTTTATCCCTTCAAATGTTTCCATAAGTTGAAATGAGGATTCATTTAAAAACATGTCAGACTCAGAAGGAGGATAAATATCTTACCATTACAGTCAAATCACGCAATGGGATTTAGTATTCATCTTGACAACACTCTTTCTTCTGTAAGGACAGAATTAATCTCATTAAGTGTTATTGCAAGTGTAGGAAAACAGTTTGTGGTGAAGGCAGTGAGCCAAAAAATGAGATATGTAATTGTAACATATCATCAGAGGAAGGCAGTTTGCTAATGACTTTTGTTGTGGTGCCACCCCATTTAATTATCTAATGTTGACTAATTCAGATTCCCCTATAGATGCAATGGTGCTGTGATTTTTCAGATTCCTTTTATTAATGTCATAGAATCCATTTGAACTGGTTGGTGTTCACTGTGGGAATTCTGTGCTTTGATTCCTGTGTCTTTGTCTGACGCCAACTACATTGGGCCTATAACCGAGATGAATATACATTTCTCTTGGTTCCTTCCTATTTAAAAGCACAGGAATGGATTTATTATATGTTTTTCACCAAATGTATGCTAGCATTCTCTTAAATTACAAGTAATACATCCAGGGATGGGCTTCAAAAATTTTAGCAAGGGGTTCTCTGCCCGGTTGCTGGGTGGGCGTGGCTATGGCGGGTGAGGCCTAGTTGGCCTACTGCACCACAATGGGGGGGGCGTTTTTGCCTTCCCCGGGATCTGTAGGCTTTCCTCATGCCTCCGGGAGGGCAAAAATGGTCTCCCCAGGCTCCGGAGGCCCTCTGGAGGCCGGAAATGGGCCGAACATCTGGTAGGCCCATTTTTCACCCTCCCCGAACCTCCATGCGCACACTGCACTTACTTGCATCCAAAATGGGCCACGTGAGGACTCCTGGGAGTGGCGGGGTGGGCAGGGCCAGCTAGGAATAGGATTTGGGAGTTCTCTGAACTGCACAGAATCTTAGCTAGAGGTTCTCCCAAAACCCTGCGTACCCCAGCAGCCCACCCCTGAATACATCGTCTACAATCTACTGTCAATTAATTGATCAAATGATAAAGTTCCAAGTTTAGATCTTGGAATGAAGATACCTAACTAATTATGGACTTAATATCACTGCTTTCCAGTTGTTTCGATAAAGATTGTAAATACAGTTCTGAAATTAGATTAGATTAGACAATATCAGGAAGTCATATAGATTATTTCACAGATCAGTCTTCCTCAAATCCTCATACATCCAGAATATCCCAAATGGCCATGCTAAGAGGAAAATGGAATCATAGTTCAAATTTATCATTCTAGGTTTGGAAAAGCTACTATAAGGGAGTCTGAGCACTTTTTATGTTCACTTGTATTGAACATTATGAAAATTTACCGTCATCCACTGTAAACAAAAATGGCACCTATCATGCCTATTTGGTTGCACATTTATTTTGTGGGTAGTAAACAGTAAATTTGGAATTATGCTAGTGCACAACAAAGAGTTAATATGTGAAAGAGTTCAGAATTGAGATTTTTTTCTATGATGGTGTAAGTGGCAAGGGAACAATACTTTTGTGGATTGCTTATCACTTATGGTGATTTGAATTCTTGCATCCTAAAAAACGTGGTAGGAGATTGGTTACAGACAACTTGGAGCACTGGCAGAATCTGGAGGGCAAAATCCCTTGTATACATTTGGAGCTAGACATTAGCTAGATTAGTCTAATAAAAACAATTGAGGCTAAATCTAGGAGACATCCAAGCCTGTGAATGCTAAGGAAAGGGATAAACATTCTCTGCAGCATCAATTTTCCAAATGTGGTTTGGATTCCAGCCCTGCTTGGCTGATAAAAGCTGTCAGGGAGATAACAGAAGGCTGAATAAAGATAGTGATTAGGGCATCTTTGAGAGATGGTGGTCTTCCTTCCTTGACAAGGCCCATCCTCAAGAAGCCATTGTTTGAGACAGCTAGCACACCAGTTTTCAGGTTTTTGAGAAGGTGATAGGCCTGCAATAGATCTGAACACTTTTCATTTGTCTTCTGTACAGACCAGGGGTGGGTTCCACTTACCTTTACTACTGGTTTGCATCGGAAGCACGAGCATGCACAGATCGTCCGTGATGACATCTGGGCGGGTAGGCGGAGCCTCCCACCGCCATTACTACCGATTTGCAAGAACCAGACCAAACCAGGAGCAATCCACCACTGGTACAGACTAAGGAAGAAAACAGGGCCTAAAGATATTTAAAGAGTCATGGTGGCACAGTGGTTAGAATGCAGTATTGCAGGCTAACTCTGCATTTCACTGCCAGGAGATCGATCCTGACCGGCTAAAGTTTGACTCAGCCTTCCATCCTTCTGATGTCATAAAACAAGGACCCAGATTGTTGGGGGCAATATTCTGACTTTGTAAACTGCTTGGAGAGGGATTTAAAGCACTGTGAAGTGGTATATAAATCTGATATTGCTAAAGTTCAGAACATCCAAATAATCACTCATGATAAATCACTCATGTAGACACCTTCCTAATTCATTGAACTATAAGAAGAGAAGGAGGTGCAACATAGACAGACTTGCAAGAATATGATGTTACAGCCAATCTCAATCAAGATAATTGTAAACATACTATGGAGTTGATTTCATGAACTGGTTTATCTAGTGATAAACTGGTTTATGTAGTGATAAATTGAAGCTGACCATTTCTGACTTGTTGTAGTCTCTGCCCCTAAAGAATGTCCACATCAGGAACCAAGGGGAGACTTTCTTCATATTGGTTTCCCTACTTTGGAAAAGTATACCCCTAGAATTAAAATGGCTCCTTCCTTGCTATTGTTTTAATGAGCCATTATGATCTTGCTCTTCAGAAAATCTTTGCAGGATAATATAAATAGCTGAATGGCTGCAGATGTTTGGTGCTTTGGAGTTTGGAGAATTAGTTGACTATGTTGTTGTTGTAGCCAATATGAGGGGAGAGAAAATAAAATAACAAAAAAGGAAATAGACTCTGTTGACCTTTGTTTTCTAATCTTGCTGTCTCTAAACTGGGCAGATTTAGAGATAGCTGTATTATAGCATTTTGTCTCAACTTCCTACCAAGGTAGAAGAAATTGGTCAGCAGATATTTAAAAGCCTAGATTTTTAAAATCTATGTGACACCAAAATAATCAAAGGAAGCACTAGGCAAGACTTAAAGACTGCGGTATGCAATGATCTAGCCACCATCTTTGTCATCTGCCAAAACAGTGGGAGGTCTAAAGTGTTTGCAGGTAAAATGCATCTTTAAATGCAAATACTGTAGTATATGACTTTTGCATCCAAATGATTAAAAGAGAGGTTTAGTTGTATTTCCAAGAGCTGTTTGGAATATATATTTCAGATTCCATCGCCTGTCTCATATCTGTAGTTGCCAATGGCTTTGAACTCTTTCTCCGAATCCAGTTCTGAGTCTGCCTTGAGTTAAAAACTCTTTTGTATTTTCATAATCTTGTTTGGGATCATCTTATGATATTTATGTTGCACATCCAATACAACATAACACAGACTGTTCTAAAGGCTGAGAAACCTATTCATTATAGTTTATAGTTATATTCCAGTGTAGTTATATTTTCCATCCTTCAGTCTCTATATAACCCTTTAAATGATTAGTATTTATTTGCTTCTAAAATGAGAATCAGATGGAGAAAAGCTAATAAGAGAAGTGGAACAGATTAATATTCAATTGAATCCAGAACTTTTTCATTTAGGATTGATGAATAAACAGATAGAAAAAAGCCATGAACATTTATTTCAATATATTGTTACTGTACTGTGGCAAGATTATTAAATGCACAAAGATGGAAAGATTCGGCATCGGAGGAATGGTTGACAAAATTGACAGGATTTGCTGAGAAGACAAACTAATTTCTTTGATTAGAGAAAGGACAATATCTATATTTATTGGTGGCTGGAAATTTCTTATGGATTTTTTGTGTAATTTTTTTTTTAAGTGAACTTGTGATTTATGGTTTTATGCTTAGACAGGATAGATTGCAGAAAGAAGAGAATCGTGGTGTAACTTTAGAGAGAAAGGTTAAAATATAATTGTACTTACAACTGCTGTGAAGAGTATCACAAGTCACTTTTTAATATATTTTTTTCTTTTTCCTACTTGCTTCTGCACTTTTTCTTATTGCACATTTACCTTTTTTTTTCATTTTTCTTATTTCTCTTTCTCTTTTAGTTTGTATTAGTTCTTATTATTGCTGTCAAAATGTTTGATAAAAATATTTTTAAAAATAGAGAAGAGGAGTAGAGCAAGCCTTCACAACTCTCCTCTTGTTTTATGATGACTGTCATGTTGCAGGCATGAAGGGAGGGGATGGAGGAAGGGAGTGGTGGGGATGGAAGAGACCATATATAGCATTTGCTCAAGCCTATATTTGGACAGAGTTTGCTCTATTTGTGAAACTGAGGAGAAACAAGACGCCCAACTTCTAAGACAAGGTATATTCTTTAAAATTCATTCTAATGATTGATGGATTTCATAGTGCTATTAATTACTGTAAAAATATTTTGCATGATTGCTTGAACTGGTGCTTGAGAACAGTTGAGCGTAGAGAACGTATTTTATGAGCAAGCGGTAATAAATTGTTGAAAGCATTTTCAGGAAGCCTCAATATACATACTATAATTGACCCAGGAATTGTGCAATCCAGTGAGTTTCATGTACATTTTTTTCCTGGTAGTTTGTATAGGACCAAAGAGACAGCATGCTTAGTTGTTGTTGTTGGTTGGATTTTTTTTTTTTTGAAGTTGCATGTTTTTTTTGTTTTTAAACGGAATCCTTGAGTGTTCTGGATATTACTAGAAAATTGACAATGTTCTTTTCTCAGCTTTTTTTGTCATATATCCATGTAAGAGAAACTTATTGGAGTATTTTTGTGACATTTGCTTGCATCTATTTTTCAATTCCCCCCCCCCTCCTTGCGATAGCATGATCAGCTTAGTGTAGAGATGGTTTGTTTGCATTAACTTTTTCCCTCTTTGCTTCCTTGATGTAGGGGAGGCATCAGTGGGATAGCTACAATGTCAGAACCAACGGCCACCGAGAATAAGAAAACTCCTGCTGGTTTGAGTGGGCGAAGAGCTGTCCCACCCAATGTTTCCAATGCAGAAGAAGACGAAGTACCTGAAGTAGAGACAATTGGTTTGGTGCCAAGGGGATTTAAGAGAGAAGGTATGACTAACCCACACAATTTGGAACTAATCAGTACACCTGAGAGTTTTTTCCTTCACTTCCCTGTCAGTCGTACCATTGTAAAATATTGAAGTTCAGACAGAATTCAAGGCTGTGACACCTACTTTTTCTCTTAGTGATTAACAAATTGCAGGATATTGTCATGGGCTAGGAAATACATGGGATATATTCCCTTGCAGTTCTGTGATAAATCCTGCGTGCTTGCTATCAATATACCCTTCTATTAGGCACTTCCATAAGGGGGCCTTTTTGGCAGTTCAAAAATCATCTCCATGCCTGATCTTGTAGGCATTCTGGAACGGAGTTTATTTATGGTTGGCTTTGTTGCACTAATTGAAAAATCATAGCAAAATTAGTCTTTCTTGAAATACTGCAGTGCTTCAGGGTGATCCTTTTCCCCTATTGTTGATCTGGCACCTAACACCTTTCTTGCCCATGTAGAGTTGTTTCCTGTATTTTGAGGTTAGCGGGAATAGATGTGATTGGAGTTTGGCTTTAAAGGATTTCTATGGAAAAGGGAAACTCAAATGGTGTGGAAGGGCCCATTATTCCTTTTACCATGCTCTTCATTTTTCTTCTCAGTGTTGAAGAGAAATGAAAGAGAAAACAAAGAAAAACTGTTTCCATTTGAAAGACTGCAACAATTTTTATCTTAAGTTCTATAGTGCACAAGAGACATACAAGAGTTTTTTTTCTTATTATCTTTATTCTTTATTTATATCTTTATCTTATTATCTTTATTCTAAGATTATTCTTATTATCCAGATATACTATTAAGATCATGACTTTATTATAAGGGGCAAAATGCATTATTATTAGAAGAATTATTATTATAATTTATCTTATCATTACTATAATCTAGAGAAAGAGGAAAAAAGCACTAAACCACCCTCCACACATGTCTGTCTGTATATTCTTATTTATATATTTAATTTCTACAGCCGCCACTCAATAAATGACTCTGGACATCACATCATAAATAACATTAAAAAAATAAAGCAACAAAAAGAAATACAGAATAAATATATATGGTCACTGAGTAAAACTATCACCACAGTAGTTAATATAGTGAAGAAACAAGGGCCTTCACACCAGTGGTGGGATTCAAATTTTTTTACTACCTCTTTGGGCGTGGCATGGTAGGCGTGGCATGACTTGGTGGGCGTGACTTAGTGGGCGTGGCAGGGGAGGAATACTGTAAAATCTCCATTCCCACTCCACTCCAGGGGAAGGATACTGTAAAATCTTCATTCCCTGCCCAATCCAGGGAAAGGTTACTGCAAAATCCCCATTTCCTCCCGATCAGCTGGGACTCAGGCGGCAGAGAATAGATGGAGGGGGGGGGCAGTCAGAGGTGGAGAACCGGTATTTCCACTACCGGTTCTCCAGAACTGGTCAGAACCTGCTGAATACCAACTCTGCTTCACAACCTTGGGGTCCCAGACCAGGTAACCAGGTCTTCATGACCGTATGAAAGGCCAACAGGGTTGGAGTCATCCTAATCTCTGAAGAAAGAATATTCCAAAGGGCAGGGCTATAGCAAAGAAGGCATGTCTCCTACCAATAGTTCCTGCCAGCTGCCATGCCTTGGCTGGCAGGACCTGTAATACGTCCAACCTGCCGAATTGAATTGGACAGGTAGAAACAGCTAGGAGAAAAAGGTTCCCCCAGTAGCCCATGAAGGGCTTTAAAGGTAATAACCAGCACCTTGAATTGCACTGGAAACACATTGGCAACTAATGTAGCTCACACAGTAGTGTACATATGTTGAATATCTGACGCCATTTACAGCTTGTGCTGGCTGGAGTTTTCAAATATTTTTTTAAGGGCAACCCCGTGTAGACATGAAAAATCACAAGATCATGAATGGCTGTGATCAAAGACTCTCGGTCCAGGGATGGGTGCAAATAGTGCATAACCAGAAGGTCCTTCTAGTCATGGCTGCCATCTGATCTTCCAATAGGACCTATGAGTCCAGCTGGATTCTCAAATTGTACATCGGGTCTGTCTGGGACAGTTTCCAGACTGTCCCATTCCATCAGAGATGAAAGAACCTTGTCACCAGAAGGCCCAAATGTTACTCATTTTTGTTTGGGCTGAGTTGACACACATTGTACCTCATCCAGGCCCCTACAGCCTCTAGGCCAGTGGTGAAATTCAAATTTTTTTACTACTGGTTCTGTGGGCGTGGCTTGGTGGGCGTGGTGTGGCTTGGTGGACGTGGCAGGGGAAGGATACTGCAAAATCCCCATTCCCTCCCCACTCCTGGGGAAAGGATATTGCAAAATCTCCATTCCCACCCCACTCTGGGAGCAGCCAGAGGTGGTATTTGCCAGTTCTCCAAACTACTCAAAATTTCCATTACCAGTTCTCCAGAACCTGTCAGAACCTGCTGGATTTCACCCCTGCTCTAGGCCAGTGATGGTTAACATTTTCGGCACCGAGTTCTAAAACTGGTATGCAGGCCAGAACACCAGAACCCGGAAGAGAGCAGCTGGCCGGCGCGCATATGCACCGGACCAGCTGTCCAGAGTACATGCGTGCGATGGAACCCGTAAGAGCAGCTGGCAACAGCGCACATGCCCACAGAAAGGGCTCTATGTGCCACCTCTGGCACGCGTGCCATAGGTTCGCCATCACGCTCTAGGCACTGGGACAGGACAACCACAGCATTGCTCAGGTGGCCTAGGGTGGAGATATCAACTTGGGTACCATCAGCATATTTATGATATTTCACCCAGCAGTCTCATGTAGATGTTCAATAGGAGACAACTGGGCCCTGGGACAAGCAGGGGCTGTGGGCTGGATGTCTCTCCTCTCCTACCAGTCAACACCAACTGGAGCTGACCCTGGAGGAAGGAGAAGAACCAGTGCAATACATTGCCATCCACCCCCTAATCCGGGAGTTGATTCAGAAGAATCAAGAAGATCAAGGGTGGATGAACTACCCCTATCCTGCTCCCACTAGAGGTCTCTTTGTCAAGCTCTAAAACATAGAAATATAGACATCAGAAAAACACAGCAGAATACAAATATTAAAAATACAAAATGTAGCCATGGAAATGTCTAGCAAGAATTTGGATGTAAGGTAGATTAATTTTGAAAAATAGTTCTTGAGCTGTCATTAAAAAAGCAAAACCAAAATACCTTCTCTTTTTTTTTTTTTTAGTTCTGAATGGCTCTTGGAATTGTTGGGACAGGACAATATCAGTAGATGCACAGGTTCAGATAGAAGAAGATGGTCTTTTAAATATTCTGTCCAGAAACTATTCAAGCTCATCATCAGCACTTCAATCTCAGAAATAAAATAGAAGCCAGTGCATCTACTTTGTTATGGAATCATTTGCCTCTATCCATAACTTCTATTAGCAAATGGGCCGCAGCATTCTAGGATAAGTGTGGGTTTTTAATGCTTTTCAAAAGTAACCCTGTATGGAATCTATTGCACTACCGTATACCGTAGTATATGTATTTCGGAGTATAAGATGCACCTTTTTCCCCCAAAAAGAGGGTAAAAATCTGGGTGCGTCTTATACTCTGAATGTAGCCCCGCCCAGCTTCTCAAACGGAGGTTTCAGAAGCTAGAAAAAGCATCAGAAACAAAGCTTCAGAAAAGAAGCCCCCAAACAGAGCTTCAGAAAAAAAGCCCCCAAACAGAGCTTCAGAAAAGAAGCCCCCAAACAGAGCTTCAGAAAAAAAGCCCACAAATAGAGCTTCAGAGGCTTTTTTTCTGAAGCTCTGTTTCGGAGGCTTTCAGAGGCAGGAAAAAAAGTTTTTTCTGAAACAGGGTTTCAGATGTTTCAGAGGCAGGAAAAAAAGCAAAAAAAAGCAAGGCATGGAGCTCACAACCAAGGAACCTGTTGCTAAAATTCACCTCTGGGAACAGCTGATTTGGGGTATTCCAGGAGTCTGATCTACCTGCCAATCAGCTTTTTTCTTATTTTCCTTCCCAAAAACTAAGGTGCTTCTTATACTTCGGTGCGTCTTATACTCCGAAAAACATGGTAATTCTGATATGATAAGGTAAAGTAACTAAGGTCAGATCAACATTTTTCAAGAGTAACATAGTGAGTTTAAGTGTCATCAAACGAGAAAGCTGGTAATATGTAAGTGAGTGAGCTAGATTGTGCTTTATGGCATCTTCCTGCTATTTACATACCAATTTAAAAGTTCCTGTAACTGCACATACGTAAGCTTACTAAAATGTTTGCAAAATGTATGGTATGGAACCTATTGGCATACATGCGGGCACACGGGAACATATACAAACACTCATGGAAAGAACTCACTTTGGAAAATTCTTGTGAAAACTTGTGAATACAGGTAGTCCTCGACTTACAACAGTTCACTTAATGACAATTCAAAAACAATATGGCACTGAAAAAAGTGATTTATGACCATTTTTCCTGCAACCCCATGGTCATGTGGTTTACATTCAGATGCTTGACAACTAACTCACATTTATGACGGTCACAGTGTCCTGGGATCATGTGATCTCCTTTTGTGACCTTCTGACAAGCAAAGTCAATGGAGAAACCAGATTCACTTAACAACCGTGTTTGACTAACTTAACAATGGCAGGGACTCACTTAACAACTGTGGCAAGAAAAGTCGTAAAATGGGACAAAACACTCTTAACAAATTTCTCACGTAGCGACATAAATTTTGGGCTCAGATGTGGTTGTAAGTTGAGGACTACCTGTAATCAGGACTGTAGGAGCAAGATAAAACAGAGAGAAGAAGTAAAGACAGGAAATGGAAGGATGAGGTTACCAGATGAACTGATTATACTACGTAGGTAATACAGGTCTGAGACCAATCCTCTCTCCTCTCTCCCAACTGCCCCGAGGAGCAGATGAAATGGAAGATTAACACAGCAATAGACCTAGCCGCAGCTGGCTATTTGGAGACATGGAGCAATATGACCTTTGTCCACTGGCAACCACAATAAAATTGAATGATAGGTACCAGTTGGAAGG